CTCTAATATGGAAAGAAGCACTTCTGTATTTCTATTATATATGCTAGAGAAACTGATTTCTAGTGTTAAAACGTGCAGCTCTGTATACATAATTTTGGTAAGCTAGGCAGAAGCTTAAATATTCAGTGTACAGAAATAGTCATGTGTATGCATATGTAAATCAATATGTCAAATTAAACAAGTCCACCCATCCCAAATCCTACCAAGTTATCCGTCACATCTTGCTGTTGGCAACATCACAACAGACCTAGAGTGTCGTCGTCCACCTCGCCCTTCAGGTCAAGCAGCTCGAAGATGAGGCTCCACGTCGCGTGCACAGCTACAAATTAACGCATGCATATGGATCAGTACAGGAATGCCCCAACCAAAAGCAGAATGGGAGGATCAGAGAAAGCAAGAGAAGGTGGAGGATGTGTGCAGGGAGGGGGGAATGTCAGTACTTGGAACCGGACGAAGAAGGTGGAAGACGGTTGCGTGAGAATCCTCTCGGTGCCGCCGCACCCTCCTAGTGAGTGCAGATCCGGGGCCTCACTTGGTCACGACCAGATGTGACCCTTGTCGAGGACGTGGCTGATAGCCGCGAGGACGAGCAAGATGCAGCTCGTCGTGGATCTAGGAGGGCCACTGCGTCACCCGCTCGATCCGGGAGCGCTGGTGGTGCGTGCACCTGCATGAGGAGGGAAGACACAACACGTAAGGTAGAGTAAGGGAAGCCGAGGGGAGAACAGCAAATCGACATATTGCCTTACCTATACGATCAGCAGAAGCACGCGCGGATGGCGTCGTCGACCGAGCGGAAGCAGACGTGGGGATGCAGCCAACTCGCCATGGAGATGGAGCACCAGGTCCAACCCATGGGCGGATCTGGAAGCCGATGCCATGGAGGAGATGAGCTCCAGGTCCAGCCCCTGGGCGGATCTGGTAATGATCGAGGAGAGGTCGGCGGCGGGGTGGTGCGGCCGCCGTGGGCGAGGATGACGGCGGGGTGGTGGCGGCCGCCGTGGGCGAGATCGACGGCGGGGTGGGGGCGGCGGTTGTGGACAAGCACGGTGGATCCGGGCGGGGCTAGGGACGGGACCGGGGGAGGATGGTATCTACACGAGGCCATCGCCGGGGTTTGTGGCGTGGTGGAGGCAGCCGTGAGGAGGGAAGGAGGAGAAGGCGAGGGAGGGAGGGCGCCGCCGCCGGCGATGGGAAGCTAGGGTTAGAGAGGGGTGGCGGCGTCGATCTGGATCGGATCGATATCTGAGGGAGGGAGAGGGCGGCGGCTGTGGGTGCGGGTTGTGTTAGGTCTAGTTAGGTGAGACGATGGGGGGTCAAGTCTGCCGTTAGATCAGGGACGATCGGACGGTTCAGATCGCCTACGGTAGGGTGATCCGGGAGAGACGTCCTGATTGGTTGAAGACTATGGCTGTAATTTAAAATATAGTCTTTAAGTGCTAAAAACAAAGGGGTTTATGAAGCAACTACCAATAATATTTTGCAAAATGGAACCAGTAAAATTTTCACTCAAGTTACACCACATTTTATGGATGATGATAACCAACTTGTATGCATTTCCAATCATTCTAGTCTTTTTTGGCCATTTAAGTTTTGTAAGATTCCATCCGCAGCTACGAACGGTTATGCCCATGGTTTTAATCGCGTTTTGAAATTGGCATAAAGAATTAAAGAAATCAAAAAATGGAAAGCCTTTGCATTGTGTGATCTAGTGTCTAGTAAAAAACAAACTTCTAACACGATAATTACTTTTAAAAAGTCTACTTAAATAGTCAATCTTATGGTCACATTCTTGGCATAGTCTACTCAAATGACCTCATATCGTGCACAAGGGTGCATCCTGGAATGGCAAACAATTTTGCCTAAGGAATCTTTTATTTTCTTTGGACGAAAAATCAGTTTTCCATTTTTTCGATTGCCCAAAATGAGTTTTTTTGTGAAGGGACTACCATATATTAGTTGCAAAATTGTACCTAATCAATTTTATAAAATACTAGGCCATATATAATGCATAATTGACCAAATGGTCGGGTGTAAAAAGTTTTGATCCACCTCTGGTGAAAAAGACAAATTCCCGCTGATTCAGCAGGAAGCGGGTCAAATTTGAACTGTAGCTACCTCGTAGTTTGCTATTTATTTTTTCCAAAAATCATTTCTAGGTACATAAGTATCTATTTAATCAGAGAAATATCAAAAAATTTCCAAGATTCAACCACTACCTAGGAGCGGTCAAGCCCGCCGTTTTGACCGCATTCTGAAACGGGCATAAAAAATTCAAAAAAATTCAAAAAATTGGGAAACCTTCGCATTGTGTCATCATATGTGGCCAAGTTCCTAGGAAAAGTAACAAACTTGTAATACGACAATTATTTTAAAAAAGTGTTCTCAGAAACGAGCTATCACGTGTGGAGATCAATGGCTTTCAAGCCAAATGATCAATCTTATGGCCACATTCATGGCATAGTTTGTTCAAATGATCTCATATTGTGCACAATAGTGCATATTGGAATGGCAAACAATGTTGTCTAAGGAAGTTTTCATTTTCGTTGGAAGAAAAAACCATTTCCATTTTTCGAGTGCCCGAAATGAGGTTTTTCTGTGAAGGAACTACCATATATTTGTTGCAAAATTGTACCAAATCATTTTTATAAAATATTAGGACATATTTAATGCATAATTGACAAAATGGTTGGGTGTCAAAGGTTTTGATCCACCTCTGGTGAAAAAGACAAATTCCCACCGATTCAGCTGGAAGCGGGTCGAATTTGAACTGCAGATGCCTCATAGTTTGCTATTTATTTTTTCAAAAAATCATTTCTAGGTACATAAGTATCTATTTAATCAGAGAAATATCAAAAGTTTTCCAAGATTCAACCACTAGCTAGGAACGGTCAAGCCCGCCGTTTTGACCGCATTTTCAAACGGGCATAAAAAATTCAAAAAAAATCAAAAAATTGGAAAACCTTCGCATTGTGTCAATATATGTGACCAAGTTTCCAGGAAAAATAATAATCTTGTAATACAGAAACTATTTTAGAAAAGTGTTCTCATAAATGAGCTATCATGTGTGAAGATTCATGGATTTCAACCCAAACGCTCAATCTCAGGGTCACATTCATGGCATAGTTTGTTCAAATGATCTCATATTGTGCACAAGGGTGCATCTTGGAATTCCAAACAATATTGCCAAAGGGAGTTTTCATTTTCTTTGCACGGAAAATTCATTTTTCATTTTTCGAGTGCCCGAAATGAGGTTTTTTTGTGAAGGAACTACCAAATAATTGTTGCACAAATGGACCAAATCATATTTATAAAATATTAGGACATATTTAATGCACAGTTGACAAAATGGTTGGTGTCAAAAGTTTTGATCCACCTCTGGTGAAAAAGACAAATTCCCGCCGATTCAGTTGGAAGCGGGTCAAATTTGAACTGCAGCTGCCTCATAGTTTGCTATTTATTTTTTCCAAAAATCATTTCTAGTTACATAAGTACCTATTTAATCAGAGAAACATCAAAAGTTTTCCAAGATTCAACAACTAGCTAGGAACGGTCAAGCCCGCCGTTTTGACCGCATTTTCAAACGGGCATAAAAAATTCAAAAAAAATCAAAAAATTGGAAAACTGTCGCATTGTGTCATTATATGTGACCAAGTTTCCAGGAAAAATAATAAACTTGTAATACGATAATTATTTTAAAAAAGTGTTCTCAGAAATGAGTTATCAAGTGTGAAGATTCATGGCTTTCAACCCAAATGATCAATCTTATGGCCACATTCATGGCATAGTTTGTTCAAATGATCTCATATTATGCACAAGGGTGCATATTGGAATAGCAAACAATGTTGCCTAAGGAAGTTTTCATTTTCGTTGGACAAAAAAACCATTTTCCATTTTTCGAGTGCCCGAAAGGAGGTTTTTTTGTGAAGGAACTACCAAATAATTGTTGCAAAATTGGACCAAATCATTTTTATAAAATACTAGGACATATTTAATGCACAATTGACAAAATGGTCTGGTGTAAAATTTTTTGATCCACCTCTCGTGAAAAAGACAAATTTCTGCCGATTCAGTTGGAAGCGGGTCAAATTTGAACTACAGTTGCCTCATAGTTTGCTATTTTTTTTTCCAAAAATCATTTCTAGTTACATAAGGACCTATTTAATCATAAACACATGGTTTGGTGGCGATACGTCGAGGTTTGGGCGCTGGCCGAGGGCCCCAACTCTAGAGCGCGTAAACTCGCATGCCCGCCGCGTGGTCACCGCGTGACCGTGGCGTTGCCATGTGTTCTGGGCGGCCTAGGCATGTCTAGTGGGTTGGGCACTCCCCAGGTTGGTGCTAGGAAGAAAATTACAACATAAGATTCTCACGAGGAGACCAATTGATGCTCAAACATGAATTAGCAGCCAAGTGTTTGATTAGCGGTACGGGAAATGTACATGGCTAATGGGCGTGAGTTTTGGCTGAGGATGATCAGTTACTAAGAAGACCATTTTCACAAATTTTCAGCTTAAAAGGAGGAGCCTAGGTGGTACTTGCTTTGCAAACCACTACACTGGACATAAATACGAATGTTGAAGCTCGGCTCAAAATAATGAATGGATTAAGCTGGCATTTGATGGAGGATGGTTATTTGGGCATAGGAAAGCACTGTAGAAAATAGATACTATTTGGACATGCCAAAGTGGTACTTCCTTCACAAACTGTTACTCTGAACAGAATAGGAAAATGAATATTTTTGAATTATTTTTGAACTAGGCAAGGAAGGTTTTTACATATTTGACGAAGATATGACCCAAAGAATTTATGAGATTTTTTTGGGAATTTTGGGAATGACAGAAATATAGTTTGCTTCACAACCTAGGGCAAAAACTTCCACATGGACATGACACATAGGCAAAACTGATGAGGTGGCGCCTAGTCATAGAAACCCACCATAATTTACAAGGCTATGACCATCTATATTGGTCGTTAACAACTAGAAATAAGGTAGCGGACTAGCGCTGTTAGCTTTATGACCATTTCATGTAAGGAAATTATGACCTTTCTGACCAAAATGGTCGCAATGGTTTAGGGTTTGGAGCTCCTCGAACAGTTTTTGACCAATTGGTCTCAAATGGTCATAAATCTATGACCAATTCTTCCAGAATTACTGACAGAAGGTCATAAGTTGACATATTTCTTGTAGTGTATGTAGACAGACCCGCTCCAGTAATTAGATGAATGAAATGCACCGTCGTAAGTCTCAGGCATTCTGCAAACCATGTCGTAGAGGTACCCTGGGGCATAACGCCCAGGAGTGAACTCTCGGTCCTCCCACCGCCTTGTGGATGACGAGTACATTAACATTGGCAACACGATTTTTTTGGGCTCCTCGACCTCGTCTTGTGCTTCCCCGAGTGGCGGAACCTGGCCTTGCGTGCTAGTGGCTGATAATGGCTCCTTGAGTAGGCCATCCTTCGGAAAGAGGAAAACATGGTAGTGCAGCGACATGGCAGGGTCGAAAGCCATGGATGCGCCATAGCTGTACCACGGTGTCGACGGCCGCGGCAGACGAGCGTACCACGCCGTAGCCGGGTTGAGCACGTAGTAGAAGTCTTCCCGCCCTTCAAGGAGGAGGAGGAGGCCATTACAGGATTGGTATAATATCGCCTGGTGCGGGTAGACGGGGCCCGCGCGCCGTACGCGGTCGGCGGCGCGAAGAAGGACGTACCGGTGCGGCAGTCCATCTTCTCGACGAAGAGGCCGGGGAAGGCGCGCCGTGGGAAGTAGCGCTCAAGGGAGAGCCAATGGTCGTTGTTGACTATGTCGCGCCACGCGCGGCACACGCACTGGGACGTGCACCCGGCAGGCGGTGGAGGATGTCGAGGAGCACATGGTAGGGCAAGCACATGCCGTCGCCGTCTCCGGCTGGGTCCATCCTCGTGTGGATCGGTCGCAGATTGGATTGTTCGGACGCTAGTTTCCACGGGCAGATGCTCGTATATGGGATGTGATGGCCGGGACCAGCTTCGCCTCCACGGATTTGATGGGAGTATACTTAGCCTCTACGGCATCTGCAAAATGCTTAATCGCTACGGCATCTTATAATAAAGAAAAGGGAAACGTTTACCTCCGGACGACCGGCCGAGCGCTCGGCCGGTCGCCCCTCGCTCGCTCGCTCTTTTCACGCGGGAACAGGCCGAACAGGCCTCGTACGCTAGGTGGGCCTCAAACGAGACGTGGCTTTCCTTATCTCTTTCTTATCACGTTTTTTTCTATGCTTCTTCTTTCTCTCGCCTTACGCGTAGTGAGCTTGCCAGCGCCGAAGGCGTGACCTCCGGCTCCTTTTTGCGAGCGCCTCCTCCCCTGCTGCAGCATCCCCTCCCCCACACACCTCAAACTGCTACCCATCGATGCTACAACCGTAGAGATTTTTTGCTGGAACCCATGGTAATTTTTGCTTGAATCGGCTTTGCTTTTTGCTGCGTGGGATGCTACAACCAGTTCTGTGCAACCAAAAGCTGCAAGCGCCATATGAGAAAGCTACAACCGCCCACGAAAAACCTTCAACCGAAGAGGGTGCTGAAGCTAGGGGCTAGCTAGTGCTGCAACCGTTGACAAAAAACTTTGCTGAAAGCGGCCAAGTTTTTTGTTGCAACCGTCGCCATTTTTTGCTACAACCGGCGATAGATTTGCTACATCCATCATGGCGGAGCCGCGACCCGTGACGACGGCGACGCCGAATTGCTGCAACCGTGGTATTTTTTTGCTACCACCGGTGTTTTTTTCTGCTACATCCATGAACGGCATAATTTTTGCTACGACCTATGATTTTGTTTTGTTTTTGTGACCAGCAAACTGAGGGTGTGGTACGGCGCGAGCTTGACGACGGGTGCTGCAGCCATCTTGACCGGAGTTGCAATGGCTGGTAAGCGAAGGCGGCCAAAAATGAGATGGCGAGCACGAGGCCGAGGACGAGCTCGGGCGGCCAAGGTTGCGGCGGTGAGCGCAGATTGCCGGCGAGCATGAGGGCGACCGGCCGAGCGCTCCTTTTTGCGTTGGGGTGATCGCTTTGTTTTTTTTCTTTTCTTTTGATTGCAGATGATGGGGCAAAGGATTACGCACATCAGACAGTTGCAAGGAGTTTAATCGATGTAAATAGGACCGGCCGAAACTTTCGGCCGGCTGACCGGCGCCCATCAGTTGCCTAAAGAAAAACCTTAACCGCTACAGCAGTTTTTTTGGCACTGTCGGCCGCATGAGAGCACTTCCATCAGCGAAAATAGAACCAAAAGTGACCCAGAAGGCCAGAACCCAAATGACACTAATCGGTAGCTGGAGTTTTTGATTAAAATAAAATAACTATTCACCCCAGTGCATAAAAAGCAACCGGGAGCAGAAGAACAGCACTTCTGTGGAACAAACATAGTGATAGGCTGCAAGAAAAGGAGTATTAATCAGATGGCCTAACAGCAACACACGGGAGATTAAGAAAATATTAATGTCCAAAGATATTTTCATTACCAGTGGTAAGAAAAATACTATAAGTAACAATGTTTTGGCAACGTCATAACCACAACTGGTAAACCGTCTCACTTGGTTGTACTAGATGATCAATCAACAAGGGCATATTTCCAGCCGAGCAACAGACTCAAAGAGTCAAGATAACCCAGACTGAGCCATATAACATTGCAGATGCTTTGAACAACATCATCTTGTGCCAACATGCATTGATCTTAATTGTCATATGTGGATGTAAGGGTAGAAATCATCATGAGTGGAAGAATATGTGGTGTCTAACGACCTCTCCCAGCAGAATACTGCACAAACATCGGAATACGCTATAAGTTTGCTTCTGAGATGCCCTGAGTTGTCTCCCTCCATTCGGAATTACTCGTCCACGAAATGAATGTATCTAGATGTATTTTAGTTGTAGATACATCCATTTTTGTGACAAGTAATTCCGAATGGAGGGAGTAGACAGGAATGCCAGATTGTTAGGTTAGCATTTTTTGGTTAAGCTATAAGTTTTGATTAGCCATCAGAGTAAATAGACTTCTGAAGCCAGCATATGAACATAGCTATGTGCGCAAAATGGTGACGGGTTAAGATAAAGTAAAAACAAAAGGTCGTACCAACAGGAGATTCTTGAAAATATGAAACCAGCAAGTGGAGTACAAGAGCGGAGATAAACTGGTTTGAAGACGAGAACATACTGTCACTAGTAGAAAACATGGGACTAGTCCTGGTTCCAGAGGGCCTTTAGTCCCGATTCTGGAACCGGGACAAAATAAACGGGACTAATGCCCAAAACCTTTAGTCCCAGTTTGCTTACGAACTGGGACTAAAGAAGTTCCACATGGCCGCTGTGGGGAGCCCAGGCAGAGGGATCACCTCCAGCGAGGACTCCTCCCCCTCATGTTTGACGAGTCATCCTTTATATCTTTCAAGAGAAACGACAAGGGATCACCTCCGGCGAGGATTATATTCCCGAACAATTCTTCTTGTTCTAAGTCTCTTTTCATAGTTTCTGCAAATATTACAACATGGCAATATACAAACATGAGAGATGGATTAGTGGCAAACATGGACTTAATTAAACAACAAGGAATCATATGCATATGAGCAATGGATTAGTGGCAAACATCATCGAGGACTCCTCCCCCTCATGTCTGATGAGTCGTCCTATATATCTTTCGAGAGAGGATACTTTGCGGACCGCCTCTCTCATGCATGTCCGACGTCCCCCCTCATGTCGAAGTTATCGGGGTTATACTTTCAGGAGATGACACTTTGCAAAAAATAATTGCTATGCAGGAGATCAAACTATCCATTCTACCCCCTTGATCTATGTCGGCCGCCTACCGAATAAATAAAGTCCCTTCAGGTAAGACCGGTGAATTAGACGCTGATATATAGTATTATACATAACAATTACGGGTAGGGGCGGGAGGGGGTAGATCGACAACGAAGCTCTTTCTTCTAGGGTTTGGGTGGCCCCGATAGTTGGTCGGGCGAGCGGCCGCCTCTCTCTCATGCATGTCAGATGTCCCCCCTCATGTCGAAGTTATCGAGGAGGGGGTAGATCGACAACGACGCTTTTTCTTCTAGGGTTTTGGTGGCCTCCATAGTTTGGTTCTGAGATGGCCTGATTTATAGACAGGGAGGTCAGATTATTGGGTTAGCATTTTTTGATTAAGACATAAGTTTTGATTAACCATCAGGGTAAATAGACTTCTGAGGCCAGCATATGAACATAGCCATGTGAGCAAAAAGGTGACGTGTTAAGATAAAGTGAAAACAAAAACTCATACCAACAGGAGATTCTTGAAAATATGAAACCAGCAAGTGTTCTACAAGAGCGGAGATAAACTGGTTTGAAGATGAGAACATACTGTCTTCATCAGCAATTAATCAGTAAAAGAGAAGAAAATCAACCATCCCAGATTTTGGCATGGATGGGTGCAGCGTTATTTTGTACCATGATGATGTGTGGAAGCAATTGTAATTTCACCAGCAGTTACAGAGTAACTACTTTAGGTGAACTTTATAGTTATTCTGACAATGGTCAGCTTGCAGTTCACTCCCTAAAGTATATTAAGTTCCAGATACAGATTTGTAAAGGGAGTGATACAATCTAACTGATGTGTAGATCTACAGCAGACATCTTATATGTGCTTCTTTCATTTTATTATTAGAACAAGTAGGAAGACTGCAGAAAAAAAAATTAAGAATCACAGTAGTTAACTTACGGTAATCTTTTGATCGTGCCGGCTTGAAGGTAACATGTTCAGGGTGTATGCCGCATGTAATTAAGATATCTGAAATTTCCCAAGCCCTCTCATCGATCTCTATATTCCATCTGGGAGGACGTTCAATGATAATTGCCTTAAGCTGAGCACATGTAAAATCCTGGTTTCCGTCGGCCCCTGCAGCGTTGAAGTGCTGCCGCTACAGGATACAAAATATTTTAGGTGAGATCAATAGAATATACGTGATACATTCAACAATAGAGTGGCATTACATATACAGTACAAATACCTTATCCTTATGAAGCTGAAGTGCTAGCTTCTCAAGAATAGGCGAGTGCTAGAGAATGCAAACTAATGCACGTAGGTCAATAGCTGCACGCCACTCGTTGAGTAGCAGAGTTTTTAATTTGCCAAATATGGGGCAGCCATGACAAATCCCTTCTGTAGATAAACTGGACATATTGCATAAAGAAGAAAAGTCACAAATTTTGTTTCCAAGCTGAGCTTATATGATGAAAGAACTGAAGATAATAGGAACTTTGGGGAGATATTTTAGCTTCAAAAAGTAATTAGGGAAAGGGAAAGGTACATCTAGTGCCCTGAGTCAATTCGAATTTGTCCAATCAAGCCCATACATTATTAATTCTAGCAATCGAAGGGCCCACTTATGCAAAAACAAATATTTGAGTGCAGAAATCAACAAACTGCTAGAACAAGGGCATTATCGAACAAAGTATAGTACTCCCTCCGTTCCTAAAT